GGGGGGGGACCTCGCCGTTGCCGTTCCTGCTGCCCAAACTCGCCGTCGACCGCCCACTTTCCTCACCGACGCCGAAAAGGAGGCGCTTGGCGCTGATGCAACACGGCGAGCTGGGCGGGGCGCGCGCGCGCAACGCCGACGAGCTCGACTGGGGCCGACGTGCGGGGTCGGGGTTCCGCGACCCGACGCTGTGGCTGTTTCTGCGCGACGCAGTACTGCGTCAACAACAAACATGCTCTACTCCTTCTCCCGTCTTTTTGCCCACCATCATCCCACGGGGCTCGGCGGCATCATGCTGGCGTGGGCCATGGTCAACAACCCGCGCTACGGCAAGCGCGCCATCACGTCGGGCATGTAGCCGACGGTCGGCAACGCCGCGGGCGGGGGTCGCGTCGTCCCACATGTTTGAGAAGCAAGTACGACGCCCACGTTTTACCCGGGCTACGGCGCCACCCATGGGGCTGTCGCTGCTGGGGCTGGCGTGCATCGTGGCGCTGCACTGCATATTCCGCTGGGAGAACGGGCGGCGCGCGAGGGGGGAGCTGGACTGGATGGTGGAGGGGAGGACGGAGGAGAAGGTTATGGAGCTTGGGGAGAGGAGTCCATACTTCCGGTTTACCCTATAAGCGGGGAGCGGGGAGCGGGGAGGGGGGAATGGGCGAGGGTGTGTGCGCCTGTGGGCTCTATGCAACCTCATAAAACTGTAAATTGTAAATGCGATGGAACATGGCAATATTATATTGCCAAGAAAGTTTCCGTGATTCGAAAAACATGCCCAGCTCAGTGCTTAAACCTAAAGTCCAGCCCCCTGTTGCCCCTGTCCCCCTCGGCCGCGATATACGCTGCCTTCTCGCGGGTCGCGAGGGCGTCCCACTTGCGCTCGCGCGTGCGGTTGCGCCTTACGTAGTATACCTTTATGAGGACGAGCAGGACAATGTTCCAAATGACGAGGACCAGTAGCGTGGTGTTGCCGCGGCGGTAGTGCGGTCTGTCGTCGGCGCGGTAGATGTTGGAGCCGATGATGATGCAGGCTTGGGTGAACTGCGTGGATGCGCCGTGTTAGTCTGGAGAGATGGAAGGTGATAGAAGAGGGGGTGGGGGTTGGGCGGTCTCTAGTAGTACCATGTTATACAGCGCCGCCGATACGGTCCGCGTCCGCACCGAGCTGCTGTTGCGCGACACAAGGTTGACGGTCAGGGGGTGGGCTGTTTATGCTCCCAAGGTTAGCAAGACAAATCCGACGCCACAAATTGCTCACGCGCGCCAGAAAAACCTCACCGAACGGCTTGGCCATCATGGCCGTGATGACGCCCCACAACTGCCATCTGTCGGAGGCGCCCCGGTTGCCAAAGGCGAGCCAGATGAGCGGCGGCACGGTCCAGAGCTGCGAGATGATGGTCGGCACGACCGTCTGGCCCATTCGCTCGGCAAAGTACATGAGCGCCACGGTGGTGCAGGCGGCGATGACGCGGGTCGGGATGATGAGCAGGTTCGTCTGGAATACGCTGAAGCCCATGGCGCGCAGGTTGAGCGGCAGATACTGCCCCACGGGGACGTAGGCGATCAGCGCCGTCAGCGCGAAGGCGTAGAGCGGCCTGTGGTGGTGGTGTTGTGCGGTCAGTCACGGTGATGGAGAGCGCTCAGAGCGGGAGAGAGAGAGAGAGAGAGGAGTCATAGCCTACCAGAGGTCATAGTCGCAGATGCATTTCCACAGCAGCGACGGGGTGACGGGCTGGCGGTTGTGCATGGAGCCCTTGGTTGGGTCGTCGCGGATGATGCGGTTCACCATGATCTCCTCCTCACTGTTGAGACCGAAATGTGTTAGAAAATGCGACAAATCACACAAGGTACGAGAGACCCCGAAACCACCTACCGTTTTGTAAACCAGCCGTCCTTGCCCCTGAGGTTGCCCGCCGTCTCGGTCGGCCCGGCCGGCATTATGATGAAAGAGCCAAGACCGATGCATAGCGTGAGGGCGCCCTCGATCAGGAACAGCCACCTCCACCCCGCGAGGCCGTATACCCCACGCATGTGGAGGATGCCGTAGGCTATGAAGGCCGATGCAACGTCGGCCGCCGACATGGCGAGGTAGAAGAAGCCCAGGCGGATGGTCATCTCGTGGTGCTTGTAGAAATACGACATGTACAAGATGATCTGAGGACGCGGAGAGCATGCGCTTGTCAGTTATAGTTCTCACGACGTCTGCTTCGCAAGACATGTGGATTATAAATTGTCTTGAGGAGGGGGAAAAAAAAACAAGGACAGGTGAGACGACGCCACCATGTTACATACGTCGGGGACAAAGCCGCCCTGGATCAGGCCGAGGAGGGAGCGGCAGACAAGGAAGGACGTCTTCCCGCTGAGCCGGAACTGACACATGGCCACGACGGACCAGAGCGTGACCTGCGCCGGGATCCAGCGGTCCGGGCCGATCCACTTGGAAATGAGCTGCGACGGAAGCTCTGATACCAGGTAGGATAGGGCAAACAAAGTGTTGCCCAGGTTGAAGTCTGCAAGTACAAGGTGTGAGAAGCTTGACGCCGACGTGGGGGAGGCTTGGGAGGAGATGGGGCAGCTGGGGCTCACCGTTCGTTGTCAAACCCAGGTCGCCGAGGAGGTCGTCCGACACGGCGTTGCCGAGGTTCCCGCGGTCCATCTCGAGGGCAAAGAACATGACGCAGACCCAGACCATGATACGACCGTCTACCTTGCGGACCACGCTCTTCTCTTCTCCCCACGTCCATCTCGCCAGGGGGTTGAATCGATGGATGTTCTCCCTGTTCGTAGGGACTTTCGTGGTTAGCAACCCATTTGGAGGAGGTCCAAAAGTTGGCAAGAGAGATGGCCATGTTTCTCACCAGTCAGGCCTCGGCTGATAACTAGGAGCCAGGTCCGGGTCGTCGTAGACGCTGGGCTGGAGGATGTGGCCAGGGTTTAGTACAAGGTCCCTATGGGTCGTATTCGAAGGCAGTGATGCGAGTCTTCTCACCTGAGTTGCGATGGCCTCTGGGTCGAGTTTATCCCCCCCTTCCCACCAGAACTTTCTGTCATTTGTTGTCTGCGCTCCGAGGGGTGGCGCAACGCCGGTCACGCTGTTCTGCTCGCCCGTTCTCAAGCTAGAGCCTTCGCTGAGAGACGGCGAAGGCTCCTTTATGGGAGCCACTGGGTTGGCTGACATGCCTGTGACAGTGGAACAAAACCCTTTATTCCGAGACGTTGGAAAAATCAAGGAGGCCGCCGGAGTGGTTAGCTTGGTATTTTCGGGGGTGGATGCGCAGCTGCGACAGCATACGGGACTGGAGCGACAGAGAAAAGCAGATGAGCGGGATTCCAAGGTTTTTATAGAAGGGTAACGGCGGTACAACCCCGCGCAGAAACCGAAACTTTGCTCCAAAGGCTGGGCAGCCCCATATCAGTGGGCCGTAAACTTTCCAGAAAGATATTGCTCGGTCTTGGCATTGTTTATGTGGCTGGAAGGCTTGTTGGTGCTGTTACTGGCGCTGCTGACGTGCGGGCCGCATGCTGCAGGCGAAGGAAGAGGGCCTCACGACCAGATTCATCTCTTTTATCTTTCTGGTAGAGTGGAACTAACTTTAGGGGAAGTACCTCGAATGGGAATAACCGAAATAACCGTCGCGATCTTGGAGTTCCTCGACTATCTGCGTCGCATTGGGCTCGCTGTTCGAAAAGGCCGTGGATATGCATTGGGCGAGCCCCAAGACTATCCCTAGTTGCATTATCATTCGCAGCGCCTTCACGACGTACAGCGCACTGCAGCCCAGACTAACGGCTCGGGAGCCTGATGCCGCGGCCAGGGCTCAAGGGGTTGGTGGGAAGACGGCCGCGGCACCCTGAATACTTGTTCATTCCACCTTCTTTTTGATCCCTTGTCAGCAGAGGCATTGCGGCCGACGATGGGGCAGCTTGTGGAGTGGTGCGTGCCTGACACAGACAACAGCTGTAGATTACTTGGGTGGCTTCTCGTTTCGCACTGGTGATGGCGTGGACGGCTTGGAGTTGCAAGTCGGACATGACCATCGTATGTGTTGCGGGCGAGCATAGTTGACCCTCAGCCCCTGAGCCTCTGTGTCGCGGGCATGGGCGCCGGCAGGTTGTTCGTAGGCAGCAGGATGCGCGTGTCGTGGGCGCGCCTGTCGACCATCTTGAAGTCGAAGACGCCGGCGAGCTTGTCGCGCATAGCGTAGAGATCGTCCTGCGCCTTCTTGAGCTTGTCGGGCGCGTTGTCCTCGAATACGGTCGTGCGCACAAACAGCATCCACGTGCCCGACGGGTCCAGTAGCCGCAGCGACGACCAGGCCGGGAGCACAGGGCCGCCGAGTGGCTGCGCAGGGCTCTCGCCCGCGCCGGCCGGCGGCAGGTGGTAGTAGCGCACCAGGCTGATCTCGACGCTGTCGATGAAGTAGCTGACTGACTCTTCGATGGCCTCGCTCTTGAACCTGCCGGTAGCAGCGAAGAGATTGCCCACATATCAGATTTGACCGACGGGGAAACTTGGGTAGACACGGAGAATATACCAACCTGTGGTTATTGTCCTTCACAATGGTGATCAGGTTCTTCTGGTCGACTATCTCTATCTTCTTCCGGCTGATGACAGGCTGGTTTTCTGTCGGCTTGGGAAAGTCGGTCCACCTCAGGGTCCCTCCCATCTTGTTAAGCTCTCTGAAGGGCGGGGCAGTGTAAAAGGGTCAAGGGTCAGTCGCAATATGTGCGGTAAGGAAGAGGGGGAAGCAGAGCAACTCACGCGTCAGGACCCTCGATGGGCATGGTCGGCATCTGGCCGTCAGGGCAAAAGTCACGGTCCCGAAAGACCTCGTACCTCAACTGTAGCACGTGGGAGATCTTCTGGAGGACCTGGTGGAGGCCGGACCAGAGGGCCATCTGCTGCTGCTGGGTCTTGGCCGAGGCGGGGATGGAGCGGTTGAAGCCCTTGGGCGGCAGCGGGCCGGCAAAATAGACGACGCGGTGCAGGCTCTCCCAGCCGCTCATGTTGGCGAGCCCGTGCAGCACCGCCGAGGCCCGCTCGAAGTCGGCGCCATCCCTGACGAAGCTGGTGAGGAATAGCTCCTGCATGGCGACGGCGCTGTGTGTGGTGCTGCGGCCGAGCGTGTTCCTGATCCCAAGTGGTCGAGATTGACGCCCACGGCTGTCTTGCAAGGCCAAGGGATGGCCACGGTCGTGGGCTTTGTCGGCGCATCACGTGGTGAGAGGGACAAATGTGGGTCGCCCGCAAAAGACATCGGAGCAAGCAGCCAAGCACGCTTTCTTGTTATTTTTGATTGAGTAAAGCTTCTGGATCTCCGAAACTCGTTCGTCTGCGGCTAGTCTCTCGACCCTTGAGAGAGCTGGAAAGGGCCAGTCGAGGACCAGTCGACCGGGTGGTATCAGGCATGATTCGCAACGGCGTCCGCGTGTGAGCATCACACAACCACTTCCTATTTCCCCAAGGTCAGAACCTTGTCGAATGTCTTACCGATACCTGACAGCGGTCCCGCTACTCGGGGTTGCCCAAGACACGTTGTTGACGCATATCTGGTGGCTCCTTTGGCATCACTTTGCTAGCATAATGTCGTGCCGGGCTTTGACAGCTGCTTTTGAGTTTGTGTAGGGTTCGTTATAGAAAAAAAAAGGGGGAAGGCTTCTTTACGGTTTCGGTCTCGGCGCCAAGACAGGCGGGGAATCTGCCCCGCAGCAGGGTAGCCCCCCTATCCAGAAGTGGCGGGAACCCCGAGTGTTTGCCCAAATGGTCAAGGTCGGGGAACGCAAGAAGCCTGCCAGGACCCCGCGCCATAACCACACCAGAACTTAATTCTTACCGTGGGCTGCAAGCGAGGGCATCTCCGGAGTCCATCCCCTCACTGTCATCTGCCATCGAGGCTTGGGCGGCCCGAGTCTTGGGGCCAGGGGTGACATGGGATCGAAACGCAGCTCCTCCGCGCCGGGCCTGCGCCGAAACACGTGGATATACCTTCTCAAGCCGGTTTAATTCAACAAATGGTCTGAAAAAGGGCTTCGGATGAGATAACTCTATTATCAAGCCACTGCGTGAAAAGAACTTCTGCAATCCCTACTCATCTAATGTGCCTGCACCCTACTGGTGGTGATTGCCGTGGGCGCAGTACCCACCGTGGCCCTCCAGCCCGGCGCGGCACCTGCTGTCGATGGCTCGGCGGGCCTTCTCAAGCGCCAGCGGGAAGTCTCTCCTCCGATCCGCGATCCGCGTGTTCCTGCCGGCATCAACAAGCGCCGGCGGAGCAAAGTCTCGATTCCGGCCCGCAAACTTTGAGGAAGGCTGTTTTCTAGCCGCCCCCTGGTGATCCCACCATTCTCGGTGCAACCTCCCCATGTGTCTCCCGGGAGAGGCAGCGGGCACGAGTGGAGGGGCACTACCCGCCGACACCGCCGCCGCCATAATATCTCGGCATCTACCGCAAATCGGCCTTCTAGAGGATGCAATTGTGTGCTGGGGGCGAGGTTGAATGTTGGTGATTGTTCTAGGCTGAGGGGGACGGCAGAAGTGGTGGGGGTGGGCTTGTCTTTTTCAAGTTCTAATATGTGTCTGTCTCGGCCATCGGTTTTTGGAGTAGCCGCAGTACTGGGGACAGACGATTGCCACCGGCCAGGGCGTACGGAGCTCCAAAGATTGGCCCTAGCTAACCGCGTTGGCCGTTTTTCGTCTCCCGTTCGCAGCCTCCGTCGGGTATCCTTTCTCCTGTCAAGACTGGGCGCCAACGAGTGCGACCAAGTTCAGTTTCGCACTAAGGAGGACCCCGAGCTGCGTCGATCCGTCCGACCGCACTCCGTATTCTTCAGCATCGTAAAAAATCCGGTCGATATAATCACCCGCCCCCGAAAGGTGCAGGATGTGCCCAATCGCGCAATGAATGGCAAGTAGACGAGGCGAGGGCGGGTCGATAGTCCGGTTTTCGGAAAGGTAAAGGGTTCGCGTAACTGGCAAACCTAGAGTTGCGCGGTTGAAGCTGTCGAACGCATCGATGCGATACGTATGTGGCTGGTTGGAAACAGGTTCAAAAAAGATTCGAAAGGAGCCAAAATCGAAATGGTGTTCATGTGATAGAGTGATGGCGTTGTAGGGCCGGTCGATTTCGACGCCGTCGATCAGGTGCACAACTCCCATATCAAACATATTTAAAATATCCAATGCGGCTTTTTGGGCTGTGCTCTACACGCCACGTTACAGGTATTAGCCCCAAAACCCAATGCGGGGACTGGAAAGAGGGTTGCCGTCCACGTACCAACTGGGAGTTTGAAGCTTGAACCAGCGAATGCGGGAGGATATGGGCAACTTCCAAAAGCCGGATGTCATGCGGCCCGATTGGAAGGCCGTCATCATCCCTGGCATCTCCGGCTTCACGACGCTTACGGCCCTCAACGGTGTCGAATTTGCGTGAGATCACACAGCGGTGGCGATCGCGGACAAGGCAGGTGCCGCGGAGAGTTGAGACGCGGTCTGGAGTACCGACTCCAGATTGGTGCAAAGCGGCGCCTTGGGCCCTTTGAACAGCGGAATGGGTGATGGGGGACGGCTGGGGAGTCCTGTTCGAAGCGGCCTTCACTAATAAGGAGAGGCATGTGTTAGACTGGCTCGGAGGAGAGGGGAAGGAAATCTTACGTGGCAAAAAGAAGCTGTCCATTAGGTACTCTGCAAAGTCGTCCACCGATTGGCAAAGGCGCGCCTTCACCTGCGGGTCGCTGAAATCGATGTCCGGATCGATGCCGCCCGCGAGAGGAAGATCCAGATGTCCGAAAAAGCTCGACAAAAAAAGGCGTTTGGAATCATCCGATCGCGCATAGTCGTGGGTGAGCCGGACCAGGGCGGGATGGTTGTAGCCCTGCTGCGGCTGCTGGATTGCAGCCTCGCAGTGCTGAAGAATGTGGCGCATACGGATGTTGGCCTGGGTGCGCGTATCTTCTTCCATGACGGGCGTTCCGGCTTGCAGCATGCCTTGGAGTGACAACTTGGTGCCGATGATGGGGCCCTGCCGGGTATGCGTTTGTTCTCATGTCCATCTCTGACGTCCGAATGTTGTGGTTGCGCTTGTTTCTGGTCTGTGCTGAACGGCCCCACTTGAACAATGAAGCGGAGTTGAAACCAAAAGCAGGGGGCAGGAAAGAGAAAGAGGACAGGAAATAGGACTGGAAAGAGGATAGAAAAGAGGAGTTGTAGCCCGGGAATGGGCGCCCGCCAGCTGCCGAGTGGGCGGGGTACTCGACCCGAGTGCGCTTGCTCGAATGTGCTGAAATGATACCAATATTTTATTTATTTTATTTATTTTATTTATTTTATTTATTTTATTTATTTTATTTATTTTATTTATTTTATTTATTTTATTTATTTTATTTATTTTATTTATTTTATTTATTTTATTTATTTTATTTATTTTATTTATTTTATTTATTTTATTTATTTTATTTATTTTATTTATTTTATTTATTTTATTTATTTTATTTATTTTATTTATTTTATTTATTTTATTTATTTTATTTATTTTATTTATTTTATTTATTTTATTTATTTTATT